ATCGGAGAGATGAACCACACAGCTCATGCACTTGCAGGCCGGTAGTGCAGCCCGCAGTGCGTCCCCACAGTGTCCCCTCTATCTCTACAGTCCTGTGGTGACCTAGAGCTACTCGCTGTCTCCTGTGTAGAATGGGGACCAGGAAAGCCTAGGCCTCAGGGGTGGATCGGAGGGTGGGGAGTCCATGGGGGTGACATGCCTCAAGGCCTCTCCCTAGTCTAAGGAGCAACAACATAAACGGGGGGCAAAATGAGCCAAGCCCCTCAGTACTTAGTGCAGGCAAATACAGGGGGATTATGAGTTCAAGTCTCACCTGGGTAACTTACCAATACCCTGCCTCCAAAGAAAGGTGCTCATTAGTAGAGCACCCTAGGTTTGATCCTTAGTACCCCCTAAAAAAGAACAAAGAGCAAGACATCATGTCCAGAACTGAAACAAAAAGAATAGCTTTCCAAAATCTAACAGTTTTGGGATTTGAAAAATATGGGTTGGCCAACTGGCCTCTTGACCCGAATGCACCAGTGGATACAACTGAGGCTCACCTAATCTGAGTCAATTTCTGGCTTCTGAAATTAGGTCAGTCCTGCTCAGCTAGAAGAACGATGCCTTGGTCCTAAGTGGGAACTTAGGGGAGAATTCACAGGGCTTTATGCTGGGCCTGTGGTGTCCCAGTTCGCACCTCCGCTCTGTGTCTGAATTAAAGTCTCTACTTTCCTTTTGTCACATCCAAAATTTTTTGGCTTATGGTTGATGAGCACAGCAGCCACCATGTGGGACTGTGTGAATATACTTAATGGTATTTAAGACAGAGCCTGGCAGACGGAAAGTGCGCAATACCACCAGAGGTGACAGCCTGTGTCAGAGTCACTTTGGGGATCTACAGTGGAAAATGACAGCCTGGAGACACTCAGCAGAAGTGAGCAAACAGAAACATTCGGGGTCAATATGAAAAAGTCAACAGAGGTGGGGGAAACTATTCGAGCCAAAGTCTGAGTTGGGCAAGTTCTAAGGACTATGGCTGTCCTTTGTCTGAGCAACCCATGAGGGGCTCTCGATTTGGAATAACAAGCCCCAAGGTCCCACGCCTGGGCAGATCCTGCACACCCAGCCCGCCTTTGCCAAGGGGAAGGCAACAGCGTCATGCAGGCACAGGAGAAAATGAAGCTGGGCCTGGACATAACGTCCTTGAGACATGAGCTTCACAAAACATCGGGGGTTGGCTGCGTGGGGAGAGGAGACTATAAACGGGCTCCTCTTGGCCAAAAAGTGACAGTTTGACCATCACAAAGGAAATCGGGAGATTGTACTTCAATAGGACAGACTGAGTCTCCTAAAAGCTGCACGTCCACAATGGCAGCCGTAGTTCAGAAGCTGAGAGCAAAGTTAAAATGTCAAAAGGTTCGTTGTAATAAAACAGTAGTTTCACCAATTTTAGCAAAGTAATGAAGCTAGAATGTGTCATTGGTTCCTGCTACCACCGATGACGACGACATTGTCATCCACCAGGTGGGATTTGCCTTGCTTCCCACACTGAGCGAGGACGAGACTGAACACTGGAGGCTGGGAGCAGCCAGAGCTCCAGACAAAGCCGAAATGGTCCCCACACAGGACGTGGCCCTGTGTGGTTATGCACAAAAGGAGAGGAAAGAGTCCACAGGATGGACGCTGCAGGTGCTCGATGCGCAGGAGGAGAAGCGAGGTGCCAACTCGGCTCTTCTCCCAGAAGACAAAATGCAGAACACCTGGGTTTTAGTGAGCTAATGCAAGACGGATGTGGGGGCCACGCTGCGGACACAGCGGATCCTGCTAACCCTGCACCTGCACCTCATTCAGCCCTCACAGCAGCAATGTGTGAGCAGAGGACACTGCTTTGTTTCAGAGGGGGAAACGGAGGCTCCGGGAAGCCCTTCCCTGACTCCACGCTGCCCATCACACACACTCAGAAAGGTGCTAACACTCCTGCCCTGCACCTTCGGGAAGCGCCAGGAGCACAAGCCCCCGGAGGGGTGGAGCCGCGGCCTTCTAGGTATATGGCAGCTCGGGGCGCAGTGCTGCTTCCCCAGCCTGGAGCCCCACAGAGCAGGATCCTTGCTCAGATGTGGGGCACACTGGAAAGGCTCTCCACGCCCAGGACACATCCCTACGTGTCACACACCACGCGCCGGGAACGCTTCTGGGCTAAACTCACACGCTCTTCCCTGCCCGAGCGCAAGTAACTATTATCAGCCTTGCTTCACAGGTGAGGAAACAGAGGCACAGGACCGTTAAGTGGCCTAAAGTGTCCCAGAAGGAGTCAAGGTGAGGCTTGAGCCCAGACACACGCTGCCCTCCACAGGGACCTGGAGTCTGGGAGGGAGCTCGGCTGAGGTCAGCTGCCCAGAGCCTCCCGTCCTGATCCTGGATCTGCGGGCCCAGGACCCTCACAACCCTGTCTTCCCCACCCTTGTTGCAGACTCTGGGCTTCGGCGCTTAGCCGCCCTCCAGGCCACAGCACAGGGCTCCTATCTCGGGGCTGCGCCCACGGGATCAACCCATGATGCACCTCCTGCCCGAGCTCGGGGCAAATGATACAGTAGACAATTCCAGAGAAACCAGTAGACCAGACTTTCCCTGCTGTGTCTTGGGATCTGCAGACCAGTATCCTGGAGATCAGCCTGGTTGCAGCCTACTGTGGACGATCTGTCCTTGTTCTTATCCCATGCCTTTCCATGTTGAGCTTCCAAACAGATGAAGGGCTGAGCATGGCAGAGCCTTTGCCTGATAGCATCAGCCCCAAGTCTGAGTCTCTTGCTTGTCCCAGGTGTTCCTGCTCTGAGCCATCCCTCATTCCCCTCCAAATGCCCCAGCGGGCACTCTTTGGGACCCCGCCAGGCCTGTGACACACACCACCCCATACACATGGACCCTCCACTGCCTCTGGGGCTCCACTGGGCATTTCAAGGTGGTTCTGCCCCCCTTCCTCTGCACCTGGTCTGGGAAATCTGCCAAGATGCTGGTGCCCATGAGGCTCCATGCCAGGAGGGAGAGGCTGTTAACCGCAGTAGTCCTTGGCAAGTGTGACTGCCTCATGCTGGGAAGGGGACTGTTCCTCTTCAGGGTGGGTAGGGATGATGGCCTGGTTACACAGTCTGCCAAAGTAGGGATAGCAGGAGACACACAAGCCTGCCTGCACCAGGAAGGCCAGCCTGGCATCGACCTGGCAAAAGGTCAGGCTGCTCCCTGCCCTGCTCTTTGCTCCTTTTGGACCTGGTACCATTGCCAGCCAGAGCTCCCATCCTCTAGACTGAGCCATACACATTGGTAACTTAGGGTGCACATGACCAGCCTCTGTACTGCACCCCGAGAACTGACCAAGGCAGCCATAGTAGATGTACCTGCTCACAGGGCCACTAGGAATCCGGGGGAGAGGGACTGTGACCAACACCAGCCCCAGGCCACCTGCTGGCCTAAAGAGGCTGAGTTTGGCAGAGCAGGGAAGATGGGGCACCTGCCACTGCCCACTCTGGGGAGCAGACAGGACAGACAGCGCCCCCACGGACTCCACTGTGCAGATGGAGAAGCATAGGCCCAGAGAGGGCAGCACATGCCCGGGACACCGAGGACCAGCCTCCCGAGGCTACAGTCTAGCAGCCAGTGCCTGGGGAGAGGGGTCCACACAAGGCCCAGAAGCCAGGGGATGTGGGGAGTGGGACTGGGGAGCAGGAAACTGTGGCAAGAGCAGTTTCTCACTCCCTGCTGGGGTCCCCAAGAGTACTGAAGGAGGAAATGCCAGCAGGGAAGCACCAGGGCCACCCCAAGCCCACTTCAGCAAACCCACAGAGACCCACAGGGTACGCTGGGCCCTGGGCTCTGCTACTGCTGCTTGCATCCTGCAGCAGCTAAATGACACATGGACTGTCATGGTGCCCACTACACAGATGGGAAGCCAAGCCATGGCCTCATGGACAGTGACTGCGCTCCCTGGTCTGTACCTGCGTGCAGGCGTTCCATAGGTCCCTTGTCCCATGAGGCCCCAGGGTGGGGGTCGGCAGGCACTGGTTAAGGAGAGACGGACAAAGGGCACCATCGCTCATTCAGCACAGAGCCCCTGGCACACCCTGGGTGCCCAGCTAGCACAAGGTGCTCAGGATGTTGGGGTCCGACTAGGACTAAAATCAGGGCTGCCCTGTTAGCCAACCCTGCAATCCCACTGCACAGCCGGCCACAGCACGGCCCCCACGGATTGTGCCAGCCCTGGGGCAGGGCCGTGCCCCCAAGCAGAACTCAGGTGGCCCGGGCAGAAGAGAAAGGGAGCCTCCTGCCCCTCAGAGCAGTCGAGTAGCAGCAGGAGAGAGGGCTGGACTGAGCCAAAGACAGAATCCACTGTGTGCCTGGCACTTTCCTGAGGGACTTTTCATCCCTGTAAGGCCAAGAACACACCTCTTGGTTCAGAGGTGAAGGCCTCACCTGAGGAGCACAGCTTTTTTTATGGGTTTACTCTCACCCTGGATCTGGCCTGCCCCAGGGGCGTCTTGGGCCAGCCTGCTGTGGCTCTGTCTCCCTCAGTTACGCTCCGGTTTCCTGTAGAGGACATCAGATAATTTGGATATCTAAAGCTGGGTAGCTCTGTTTGGAGAAGCAGACTCCCTGCTTTGGGGCTTAGTATCCCCACCTGTCAAATGGGCTCATCACCCACTGTGACCCTCCCAGGGTTTCCAGGCAGCTGGCTCAATAAATGGTGCATTTGCTTCCCATGGGGCAGCTACCCAGAAGGCCCCAGTGAGGGTGCAAGGCCAGCAAAGTGGCCCTGTCCCTGGGACCCGCTGACTCAGGCTAGCCGCCCACCTCGGGGACAGGATGCTGTGGCGTGGTGGATGAGTCAGGCTGGGTTATGGAGCGGGGCCCGAGGCTGCCGGGCAGCGTGTGGCAGGCGGCGTGGGCGGGAAGCTCAGAGCCAGGCCATGAACTTAGGTCCTGTTTGTTCCTGCAATAACTAGGAGGCCACCTTGGTTAATATTCACTAGCAGTCTCCCTGTCGCCCCTCGGCATTGCTGTTTAAATACGGACAAGGACAGGACTCTGTCTTCTCAGCCTCTGCCTCCACCGCTGGCCCAGGAACCGAGTCGTAAGTGTGCTTTCTCTGGGGGGACACTGAGACTCCTGGGTTTCTGGACTGCCAGGCAGGCTGTAGGCCTGGGCTTCTGGTGTGTGTGTGGGGGGGGGGGGTTTACTGATGCCTCCTGTTGTCATAGTAACACAGATCTGAGGGTCTCTTCCCATGGCCTAGACTCTGGGCAAGGAGTAGAGGAGATTTGTGAGGAGATTCCTGAGGAGCCAAGGTACAGCCATAGTGGTGACAGGGGCAGAGCTGTGAGTCCAGCCCCTGTCCACCAGGGCATTACTGCCCTCAGATGCCCCCCTGCCTGGTAGTTACTATGGTTATCACCGTTTATAGAGAAAGATTCTGGGAACAGAGAGGTTGAAACCCTGTTCTGAACCCTCCACCCCCGGCACACAGGCCTTGGGTCCCAGCTGTGGCTGTGGAGCAGGAGGCCCGGGATGCCCCTGAGGCCCCTCTGATGCTCTGGGACTCTGAGCAAAACAAGACCAGCTTTGACCTCCAACCTTAATCACTGCAGAGGTAGAAGGAATTGACTTTTCTGTCACGGGTCTTTGGAGACGGGGCTAGAGAGAAGCCCCTCACTGACACAGCCAGATTCCCACAACCCCTGCGCAGAGCCCCAGCGAGGTCTGTAACAACTGGCGCCTCTTGAGCCCTGCTCCACACAGGCCCCCTGACGCTTGGTGCGTGGCTAGTTTGCACAAGGTTCTGGGAGGATGTGAAGGTGCCCTATGAGCTCCAGGAAACTGAGCTCCAGAGGCGCTGAGTGACTTGCCCAAGGTCATGCGATGAACTGCGAGTCGGACTCAGCAACCTGGCCTCAGAGTCCCTAATTTGAGCTACAAAGATTTCGTAGCTACTCTTCGCTTAACCAGGCCACCTCTGAGGCTTCCTGACTCCATGAAGAGCTCACTCCTAGTTCTGTAGGCAGCTGACTCTGGTTTTTAGTAAGTTGCTTAACCTGTTGGGGCCTCAATTTTTCCACCTGTGAAATGAGACTAAATAATAGTCTCCACCTGACCAGATAACTGATGAGGGACGCGTAGATGAGAGTGCGCAGACAGCACGCGCTGCTTAGTAAATGCACAGAAATGGCCATGCCGATGCCTAGTTTCGCTTAGCATAGGCTCAGGCAGCGAGCGGTGCAGGAACACTTGGAGAATGGAGGTGACATTTGCCAGACTCAGGGGCAGATCCTTGCTGAGCAGGAGTCCTTTCTTTGGCCTCACACAATGCAACAGCTGGCCAGAAGGAAATCTCAAACCTGCGTGGCACCAGGATGGCTCCCATGCTGTCTGTGGCCCCTACTGGTGGCTGCTGGGGCTGCAACCTCTTCCTGGGAAAGCTTTTCTCTCCAGGGTGCACACTGGAAGGTTTCTCCTCCAGGAAGTGAGGCCCAGAGAGGTGAGGTCCTTCACACAGGGCCTCCTGCCTGGCTCCTCTTTGATGGAATGCTGGGTCTCAGCAGCTTGTGACCCTATGCCTGGGTCACCTCCCCAGAGAGAGAGAGTTCTTGGCTCCTGGGTAGAAATGATAGATAAGACCCCAGGCAGCCCACACTGTTCTGCCTCACAAAGTGCTCCCACCTGCGCTGGGCTCCGTCCTTGGTCTCTCAGCTGGAAGCTTGGCCTCTGTGTCTGCTCCTGTGGGAGCTCTGTGGCTATGCTCTCCCCCAGCTCTAAGCTTAGGGGCCTAGGGGGACCTGGGACATAGGCCACGGGCCTGGGCCACTGAGGTTTGCAGGAACAGGCTGAGAAGCCCAATGAGTCCAAGAGGACACTGGGGACCCAGGTTGGGCCCAGTTCTGCCATTCCTGGAGCCTGAGCCCCGAGGCCAGAGCTGGCTCTCCTCAAGACCCATGTGGAGGAAAAGCCAGGCCCATTCCAGCAGGATGCACTCGGGGCTGCAGACCAGTGGCTTGCAGCCTAGACACACGTAGGGTAGAGGGAGCTCCGTGGGCAGGCAGCTCTGCGTGGCTCTGGGTGACTCAACTTCCACTATCTCTGTGCTCTGATGCTGCTCAAAGCCAAGCAGGTAGCAGCAGATATGCCCACGGCTTCTGGGCCAGAGGCCACTCAGCATGGTTCCCGTGTCCGCCCTGCTGTAACCCAACTCCCCTCACCCCTGAAAAGACGGAGGATTTCCATAGGGGTGCACAAAGGCCCAGATGGGAAAGAAAGGCAAAAATCTAAGGCGATGGAATACACACACTGGCTAGTGTAAGAAAATACAGAAGACATGTGTTAGGTAACGTGCAACCTCCCTCCCTTATTTAGAGATGTACAGAGCCTATGGGGAGAGAAAAAGTAGCAGAAAGAACCCATTCTTGTGATTCTTTTCTTGTCTAATGTGAACAAAACTCCCAGAAGGTCAAGGGTCCAAGTGAAACTTGATGCCTCTCATGCCCAAGAGCCTCTTATTTCCCCCTCAAGTTTTCAAATCCCTAATTCGAGGACACTTGCTTTTTGTGGGCTATTAAGGTGGTGGCTTTAGTCAAGGGTTAGCTAATAGCTAATTATGCAGCTTCTGCATGTTCTCTGCAACTCGGACTTCAGTTTCCCCACCTGCAAAGAAAGCAGGTTGCTGGCCCCAGACCAGCCGTTCCTGGCCCAGACAGATGTGAAGTAGAGGCAGCTTTTCCAGCAGGCAGGCAGGCAGGCTGTGTGTGCTGCAGGTGCCAGCGGCTGTCCCATGTCCAAACAGAGGGGCTCTTGCAGGTGCAGCTGCAAACCTTGCCGCTCTGTTGCCTGCAGCCGTGCAACCCCCAGTCCCCACCCTCCCGTCACCTGAAGGCTTTAAATCCATGACACCTGCAGGGACTCCCTCCCCCCTCCCAGAGCACCGCAGGGTCTGTATCTATTTCACAGAGCTCTCCCATAACCCCAGTTTACAGATGTGGAACAAGAGCCAAAACTTTTTGATGACTTCTCCTGGCTCACAGAGCTGGTGAGTGACAGCCTGGATCGGAACTCATGGCTGTCTAAAGCTAAAAAATAGTATTCCATCTCCCAGCTTCCCACGTCGGCCCCCATGTTAAAGGGCCAGTGAGCTGAGAGGGTGGGGAGCTGACGGCAGCAGTCCCGGCCCAGCCTCAAGCTGGAGCAGCACAGCTCTGCCCACAGGAAAAGCCTCCCTGGTCGAAGGCCCTGCTTAGGGCTGGCTGGAGACCGAATTACGCAGCTCCCCACGTGCTTTGTCCTGGTCAGTTCCCTGCTTCCCTGGGTGTCCTGATTCCCAGCTGTTATACAACGGAGCTGGGTAGGTGCCCTCCCCGGACTACCCTGACTCAAAGTGACTCTTGACTCTTATCTTGCCAGATGGCCCTGGCAATTGCACTCAAGTTTACCACGTCTCCCATGCCTCAGTTTCTCTTTTTGTATAATGAGGACAATGCCACCTGTACGTCAAGGTCATTGTAAATGAAGCAAACCCTTCAAGGGCAAGGGCTCAGTACTCAGCCTGGCTGCGGAGACAGATTGTGCCGTGAGTTGCTGAGACATGAGCCCTAACCCCTCCGGGGCCAGTGCGGGCTGTGACCGTCTTCCCGCAGGAGTCTCACAAGTGGGTGCAGAGCTGGAGTAGCTTGAGGATTGCACTGTGAGCCTTTTGCTGTTTTTCTGATTTGTGAATGTCCACTAGTGAATGGGAAATGCTCAGGACAGGCTGCACACTTGACAGACAGTAAGTAAACCATGGCTACCGTTTTGCGTTGTCTGTTGGTGGCCTGTGGGAGCTGTCATGCAGCCTGACACAGGGCTCGTGGCCCCTTTTTCTGTCTTGCAGGATAATGTCATCCACTATCTCCCGGGGCCTCCTGCTCCTGGTGGGCCTGTGCTGCCTGTTCTTCAGTTCCCTGGCTGAGGACACTGAGGCAACAGAGGCTCCTAGCCATGTCCAGGAGCACCTCACCTCCCACAAGATCACCCCAAGTCTGGCTGACTTTGCCCACAGCATGTACCGGGTGCTGGCTCAGCAGTCTAACACCAGCAACATCTTCTTCTCCCCTGTGAGCGTTGCCATAGCCTTCGCCATGCTCTCCCTGGGGACCAAGGGGGACACTCACGCCCAGATCCTGCGGGGCCTAGAGTTCAACCTCACGGAAATAGCTGAGGCTGACATCCACGAGGGCTTCCAGAACCTTCTCCACATCCTCAACAGGCCCAACAGCAAGCACCAGTTGACCACTGGCAATGGCCTCTTCGTTAACAAGAACCTGAAGCTCTTGGAGAAGTTCTCAGAGGACGTCAAAAACATATACCACGCAGAAGCCTTCCCCACCAACTTCGAAGACTCTGCAGAGGCAGTAAAACAGATCAATGCCTATGTGGAGAAGGGAACCCAAGGAAAAATTGTAGATTTTCTGAAAGACCTGGACAAAGACACGGTCCTTGCCCTGGTGAATTATATTTTCTTTAGAGGTAAGTTTGCACATATGGCCTAAGCTGAGTTAGCCTTTACCATCCTAGTGCTTACTGGGAATCCTTAGGAGGGGTGTAATCCTAACACGCCGGGAGGCTGATGCAGGAAGATTGCAAGTGTGAGCCCAGCCTGGGCAATTTAAGACTCTGTCTCAAATTAAATTAAATTAAACTAAACTAAACTAAATTATTGAAAGGCTGGAAATGCAACTCAATGCAAAGGTCCTGGGTTCAATCCCCATTACTACAAAGTACTTGGCTGTCTATCTAGCTGCCTCCATTCACTAGTCTGAGAGAGGGGAGGGCCAGGACTCCTGGGGCCCAAGTGTTAAGGCAGAGTACACAGCCCCAGGAAATAGCCTGGGGAGGAAAGTAGGGTCAAGGCCAGGCCTGCTGCCCTCCCTGTCCCCCCTCCTGGGGCAGAGTCCAGCAGTGACAAGCACCCAGGTCAGCATGACTGAGGTCCCAGGTCTGCTGTGCCTTGGAGTGATTCCTGTGCCCTCTCCAGGCCCATCGCCTCTTCCTTAATGAGAAAGGAGGGTTTAGGGTCCCAGAGTTGCCTCCCCACACCGACGGCCCGAAGCCGAGATTCACAAGTACAGCAGAGGGGAGGTAGCCCTGGCCTCTGTACTACATATTGGGTCCAGGATAAGCAGAAGGGTGGAACTCAGAACACCCTGAGTGTGGACTCTGGAGCCCCAGATGGGGAACCATCAGAATATGTTTGGGACCAAAAACGTTTACCTGTAATTTCCAAGCCAACCTTAAATATATAATCCAGATACAAATGCTTGCTCCTGGTCCTCCCTGGTCAGGAATCACCCTCCCAAGGCCCCACCAGTGGCCCGCAAGGCCAATCACAGCCCCTTCTGCAGGCCAGGAAGCCGAGGCTCAGAGCACAGGGTGTGGCCGTGGCCACCCAGGCTCCTTTATTCCAGCACACTCACTTAGACCTCAGTCCTACCCTGGGTGCTGCTTCTGTCTCCGCTCTCCAGGCAAATGGGAGAAACCCTTCCAGCCTGAGTCCACCGCAGAAGAGGACTTCCACGTGGATGAGAAGACCACCGTGAAGGTGCCCATGATGCGGCGTGTGGGCAATTTCAGGGTGTTTCACTGCAGCACCATCCAGAGCTGGGTGCTGCTTATGGACTACGAGGGCAACATCACTGCCCTCTTTCTCCTGCCAGACGAGGGGAAGATGCAACACCTGGAGGAAACACTCTCCAAGGAGCTCATCTGCAAATTCCTGAACAAGAAAGAGAAGAGGTGAGTTTCCAGCTGGAGAGTAGACAGAGCATGCCACCTCTGAACTAATTCAGAGCCCACCTAGCCACACTGACCAGTAGCTGGGGACAGTGGGCCACATCCTTCAGGCCTCAGCTCCCAGAAATGATGCTGGGTTTTCAATAGACTAGATGGCAGCACTTAGTTCCAGTAGCACCAGTTGGGCTTTGAAAGGGCTGGTGGGCAGGGTGAGAAGCACCAGACCTGCTGGAGTGTGGTGAGTGGGCTTCCTCCCTACAGGGGAGAGTCTCTTTCCAAAACCCAGTGCCCGGGGCAGGGACCACAGCAGGGCTCAGAAGCATGAGATGGAGGTAGTGGCTGAGTGTGGCATCCAGGCTGTGCTGTCCTGGGGTGCAGAGGGGACAGGCTCAAATGAGAAAGGCCAGCCGGGACAGCCCAAAGCACTTTGAAGAATGCCTCTCTTCCCTGTCACTTGCCAGTGTGGTTTACCAGGTCCCCAGAGCCAGAGTCCCCCAGATGGACCACAGATGGATACAGATTGGCACATCATAACTGAGCCAGAGCTCTGTGGCAGTTTTGCCTAGAGTTCACTGTCAACACTCATGAAAATGTACCCAAGTGTAGGAGTGAAGTGTCACTGTGGTGTCACCCTAACCTTCTCAGGGTACCTTTGTCCCCACTGTGATCAGAAGTCCAGGCCACACAGCTAGGCCTTCAGCCTTGTAAGGCTCCTCTTAGCCCTGCTCTGAGCAAGTGGCATTCAGCTCCTGCCACAGTGACCCTTGTCCCCTGGAGGTTGGGCCACAGAAAGTTCCTGGCTGGGGGCTAGGGGTGACCAAAACTCTACAGGGAGAAATGACACCTGCTTCCAGGAGGGCAGCCTGCAATTGCCCCGAGGACTTCACAGAGGAGGTGGCATCTCAGAGGCCATCAGGAGGCCTGATCCCCGTGATGTTAATGTCCTCTGCCCCTGGGGCAGAGGAAGATGAAATTCCAACAGAGAGGCAGCATCCCATCCTGCTGCATAGACAGGACACTAACGGGAAACACAGGAGAAAGGAAACCCTGGCACACACGGTAGTCTCGTAGAATGTGAGAAACGCTGGGAATCTCCTTCATCTTTCTTTTCTCATGCCAGCACTGCCAACATACATCTCCCCAAACTGTCCATTTCCGGAACCTATGACCTGAAGACAGTCCTGGGCAACTTAGGCATGACCAACGTCTTCGGCAACAGTGCTGACCTCTCAGGGATCACGGAGGACGGTCCCCTGAAGGTCTCCAAGGTGAGGTCACATGGTGAAGGTGATGTCCTAGGGCAGAATGGGGAGTAGGACATGAGTCGGCGGGAAGGTAAGGGGAGATGGGACATGTACTGGGTGCAGCTCCTCTGAAGAAAACACACAATTCACTGGACAAAACAAGGCAAGCAAAAAGAGCTGGGGAGGTGGCTTCTCTTGCTGCTGGATTTACAGGGACCTCTGTTCAGGTGCCTCCCCAGCCCTCAGCCTCATCTTCTCTTAGGATTTTCGGGTTCTTGGGCTCAATTCACCCACATGCATGTAGAGAGACAGCCTCAGTCACTGCACAGGACATTCTGGAATCTTCCATGTGTGAGACAGAGCTACTGGTGCCTCTCAGGTCTCAGTTGCAAATGAACTCAGCCAAAGATGCCAGTGGTTCAGGGAAATCTGGATAGGTCGTGTGGGCTGTGCAATCACTGGGTCTGGACAGGTGGGCGACACTAGCAGAAGCCTGTTGCAGCCACTCTCCACCCCACACTGGAAGGTGTAAGCGTGAGGAGAGGCATGGCTTCCATGTCACCTTCTTCTTCTGAGTTTAAGGGCTGCATCCAGGACATGACAGGTGATAGGCAAGATGAGAGCTGAGAAGACAGTGGGCCGGGCCAGGCAGAGACAGAGACAGGGGAAAGGCTCCATATGACCATGCAGGAAGGGCACTGTGGACACGGCAGGACCATCAGGAGGAGCAGGGCTCTTGGGAACCGCGCCAGGAAGAGGCTCCCTGCTCTGGCCGCTCCAGCGTGCGTGGGGCCAGCCCAGCCTCAGCGCCTGCCCTGCCTCTCTCCCCTCCAGGCTACACATCAGGCGATGCTGACCATCGATGAGAAAGGAACAGAGGCTGCAGGGGCCACAGTGGTGGAGGCTGTATTCATGTCTGTGCCCCCCGAAGTGCACTTCAACAGGCCCTTTGGCATCATCATCGTCGACCACTCCACCGGAAGCCCCCTCTTTGTGGGGAAAGTGATGGATCCCACACAAAAGTAACCGCTCTCAGGCTTCTGCACCCCAAGCAGCCCATCCCCTCCCTGGTGACATTAAACAACATTAAGGCCTTCGTGTGACCTGCTAGTCCTTCCCCCTGTGTCCGAGTCTCCTTTGCATTCTGAGGCTACGAGAGGTCCAGGTCAGTGCGCCTCGGTGTCCCTGCACCCCCAGGTGTGAGATTCTGCGTGGTGCAGCCTGGTGGGAAGGGCCACTGTGGCTGAGACTGGGTCCTTTGCTCCCAAATCTCCAGTCCTGCCTGGGACTCACGAGGGGGCTGTGTGGCTCAGATGCCAGCCTGAGGCCCCAGGACCTGGCAAGTGCCCTGCATGTCCTGGGGTGAGCTCACCCCCTACATACCCAGCCCTCACTGTCTGCACTGCAGCGCCCCCTGCAGGTCTGGTCACATGGGCGTGCGCGCGCACACACACACACACACACACACACACACCCTCTGAGGCCTTCCTGCAGCTCCAGGAGCTGCCAGCCCTGCCCTAGCACAGAGCTGCTGCATCTGCAGCCATGGGGGTGGGGGCGGGAGGGGACAATGATGTGCCACACGAGTCCCATTTTCTATCCAGATCTGTTCTGTTCTCTTGTTCTCTTTTTCCACCCCACTCGGTCACCTCGCCAAGCCTGGTCCAAACCTCTCAGAGGAGAGTGAAGGAAACCAGCAGGGACACTGGAAGACGGAATAGCTAACACTCCTCAAGACACAGGTGTAGGCAGACCATGAACAAACCCATGTTGCACAGGAAATAGTACCAAAAAATCAGTAACTAGGATCGCATCATACTAAAAGGGTTTGCACCACCAACAGAGTGAAGAGATAACCTACACAATGGGCAAATAATCTTACCAGCCACTCCTTAGACAAATGACTAATATGTAGAGTATGTAAAAGAACTAAAAATTATCAGATTTCCCCCCTCCATTTAAAGATACAATCCAAAAATGGGCATCTGGAATAAACAGACATTTCTCAGATGAAAAGTACAAATGCTGGCCGGCCAAATAGCTAAGCGGATTAAAGCACCTGCAAGCAGGCGCAGGGGCTAGGGGTTTGATCCCTTGGCCTACCGTGCTGGCCTTGCCCCAGGGTATGCTGAGATGGCAGTTGAGGCTGGAAATGGTCATGTGTGCCTGTAATCCCAGCTCTTGGGAGGTTGTAAACAGGCGGATCACTAGGAGTCTGATCTAGTAGTGAGACCCTGAACACCCTGTAGACCCTTCCCTAAAATACAAAAAGGAAAAAGAAAGAAAGAGAAATACAAGTACCAAATAAGCATGGTTGAAAATGTCCAACATCACTGGTCATTCAAGAAATGCAAATTAAAACAACACTGAGATTCTACCTCACTCCATATGAAATGGGGATCATCAAGAAAGTGACCAATGACAAATGCTGGGGAGGCTGAGAGGCAAAAGGAACATTTCTCCACTGCTGGTGAGAGTGCAGACTGTGCAACTGATACAGAAATTAGTGTGGAGATTCCTCAAAAACTAAAGCTAGAGGTTTCGTTTGACCCAGGTAGTCCCCTTTTAGGTATCTTTCCAAAAAAGTTAGAAGCATCATACCACAGAGATAGATACACACCCAGCTTTATAACATGACAATTTTGACTTATAAGTTAAAACTTGGAAAATGCCCAGACGCCCATCAACAGATGAATGACAAAGGAAATTTAGTTTTTATGTACAACGGAGTACTACTCGGCCCTAAAGCAGGATGAACTTGGAACATTTTAGGCAAGTGGATCCATGAGGTAAAATTACTGTATTCACTTCAGATTTACTTCACTCTCATTTTTAAAAATTAAGTTTATTGATACCATTTAGGTATACATCCTGGTCACATTCATCATAAGGCATTTGTACCCATTCACTCTCGTTTTTATTTTATTTATAGTGTGTTTAGTACAGGGCCTCACTACACAGATCGGACTCCTAGTGATCCTCCTGTTTTAAGCCTCCCAATTGCTGGGACGACAGATGCGCAACATCTCGCCCAGTCTCAGTCAGCGTCTCAGCGTGCCCTGGAGGCGGGGCTGGCACAGCACGCCGGAGATCAAACCCAGTCCCTGCACGCGCCTAAGCAGATGCTTTAGTCTGCTGAGCTATTTGGCCAGCCCTCACTCTCATTTTTAAATCCATAAAATATGTTTTTGGCTTTTCAAATTGCACGGGTAATTTTTAAATATGCATAATGTTTACATTCTAATATAACTTTATTCTTTTTTTAAGAAATGCATTTGGTTGTTACAGGGTCTCACTACACAGCTTGGACTCATAGTGGTCCTCCTGTCTTCAGCCTCCCCAGCACTGGGATTACAGGCGTGGGCACCACATCCGGACTCTGTGGCTGGCTCAGCCCGCCCTAGAGGGCAGGGCTGGCATGACCTGTCCTGCCAGGGATCAAACGCTCATTCAGGTTTGCCTAATCTGGCACTTTAGTCTGCTGAGCTATCTCACTGGCCTTAACTTCATTCTTGTCCTTCCATTTCTCTCCCCCTTCAAGCCTTCTTCCTGTCCTTATTTGCGAAAGTTTATCTTGCCCTTTTCCTTCTGCTTTCTCTCTCTCCCTTTCTGCTGCCTTCCCTTCGCCTTCCCGCCTCCTTTCCCCCTTCCCTTTTGAACCATTTTTCCTGCTCCTACTGTCTGTTGTTGGGCCTTATTTATATGTTCGGCTTCTCACACAACAGAAACAAAGTGATATTTAAACATGCTCCACTCCTGTAATTCACTGCACATTTCTTTCTCTCTTTCTAGACAGGAAAATAAAAGCGTTTGCAACAACAGGCCTGCAAGTAAAGCATGGGCCTAATGGCTTGTGCACGCCGTGGTGAAAGCAGAAGTTTTCACACAAAGTGGTTATGAAATATCAAAAGATGTCAGAGCTACAGCTTCTAAAATATATGGTAGTTCAAGTGAAAAAGTTACGAAAGTGTAAGCGTGTGTCCGCAGAGAGGCGGAATTCTAAACCAGAGGAGCAAAGGCATTTGCCGCTTTGATCTTCTCCTAAGCAGAAGCGCTAAAGAGTGGTCCTCCTGCCTTTGGGTTCCCAGGGTCTGGCCACCAGAGGGCGGCACACGTCTACAAAGGGGAGGAAGAGATTCTATGATAAAGCTTTTATTTTCTCCCTAAAACTGTAGAATTTTTAAAAATACACTTAAAATCAGCTTCCTGAAGCCAGGGGGATGGAGCACGTCTGTCATCCCAGCATTCAGGAGGCTGAAGCAGGAAGACCTCTCTGAGCTCAGGACCAGCTGGGCTGCACTGTGAGATTTGGTCTCATAAACCAAAACAGGAGCAAAGGTTTCTGGACGGGCATGGGGGCACAAGCCTGTGATGATGACTGCTCGGGAGGCTGAGGCAGGAGGGCCGCAAGGTCAGGGCCAGCTGTGCAGCTTGGCAAGGCTCTGCCTCAGGATTAAAAAACGTCTGTTCATAGAGCTCGGGACCAAGGCCCTGGGTTCAATGCCCATTAGGGGAGAGACAGAGA